CTGTTTTAAATTCATTGCTTTTTTCTCTCTGTAAAATAATGACCAAATCCTCACTTTTTATAAGCCTTTCTTTATGAATCTCAGAATTGTCATAAACTTATTTTCAAAACTTATTTTCATACTCATTTTCAATGGTAATACAAATCCCCTGCAAGACTGGAAGCCATTTTGCCTATGGCAGGTTTGGGCCCCTGTGGATGGTGTGCTCATCTCTCTGGCATACTTAAAACGCTCTCTTTCATAAAACAAAACAAAACAAAAAAACAGGCACCAGCAGTTAGCGTAATGACTATGTCGCTGGACTCCCACGTAGTCTACCGTGGTTCGAGTCCCGGAACCGGTGGCTTAAACTCATGCTGGGCGCGTGTGCGTGCGTGCCCAAGATCCCGAGAGGAGAATGGAGGAGAAGGGATTGCAGCGTGGCCATCCCCCCTGGGGGGTGATTTCTCACTTTCTATCTCTTTGTCTCTCTCTGTCTGGCGAGTGCACGTGCCCTATAGCAACAAAAACTTCTCCAGAAAAAAATAAAAAAACAAAACAAACAAAAACAAAAACAAAACAAACCAAGCAAACAAACAAACAAAAAAACCCCAAAAACATAGAACAAGAACCAAACAAACAAACAAAATTTTTAGAAAAAAGAAAAAAAAATTTAAGGTTATAATTTTAATCTGATTAAATAAATTTCAACATAAGAGTCACTGTACTATTCCTAATGATTTATGGAAAAGCATGCAACTTGGGGTGACAAATAATTTACTAATGAAGAATAAGAGGACAAGCATCGTAGTATTGACCTGGGTTCAAATCTGAGCTTTTCGAAGGTGTTAACAATAGCACATGTTGCTAATTATTGCCTTTGCACTGTTATTAGTCTTTCTCCTTCTCCTCCTTGTCCTTCTCTGCATCTTCCACCTCCTCCTGACCCTGCCACTGTCCCTTATTATGAAGGAGTCATCTTTCAAGAATGAAGGTTAATTGCTGGGGACCAGCAGTTGGTAATAAAAACAATCTCTTAAGATAGCATACAAAAGTTCAGTAAGAATGTTAGCTTTTTCTTTGCGTCTTAAAAGTATGATATAAAGTTCAATGTTATATGATAAGCACAAGTGATATTAAGTTATATTTTAGAATTTTGTGCTCCTTTATAAGGCACAGCATTCTATAGACGAACAGAATTCTTTGAGATTCTACAGTAATGGCAATTGTTAGGTACAAGTTGTAGAATTATTTGCTCTTAATTGTACATGCCGTGTCCATTTTCTCTGTGTTCATTCTGTCAGGCAGCTAGGATGTCAATTCCTATGTTCCTCAAGGGAGCAACTGTGAGGAGCAATTCTGTCGATCTGAACTAATGCAGAGAGCACCTGACAAAGTAAATGATCACATTTGTGCTCCCCAGTCTAGAAAGGTGACCCGCAAATTCAGAATAGTTTAATTGCTAGAATGAAAGCAAGTACACATTAAATGACTGCAAATTTAGTTGGAATCATTATTTATATTGTTTTTCAATTAATGAGGAGTGATTTTCCCTTTTAGCTAGGCTACTGGTGAAGATTTTCAGCCCTTACAATAAAATTATAGCATTTCAACTTGCTCATTTGATTGTCAAAATGCATGTGTCTGCTTTTAAATTAACAAACAGGTTAGCTGTTCCATACAACCTTGCTGGAGAATACAGGGTTCAGTCATCGGAAAACAAGTTTACATAATTGAGGAATTACATATCAAGTGGCACATTTCAATGAAAAATATTAGTAATGGAAACAAAACAGCAATGATGTCAATACTTGATATTACTCTGGATCACTGAATTTGTGCCTGAGAGATTTTAATTGTTTTATTTGTGTTTCCTTTTTCCCACCAGAACTTATTATGATGCAGGACTACCGTGATATGAGTCAGTGTGGTCACATCTATGAACCTTCTAGTTTAGTTTTGTATCATCAGTTGCCGAACTCTCACAAGAATGTCCTAAATGGTACCACTTTCCATAGTCTTATTACTCTATAATTCCATGCAGTGATTGCATCTTGAGGTATTTTTTTTACAAACAAATACACAAACAAACAAGATTACACCTCTGTCTTTTTTTCCAATTTTTTCGCAATTTCCATAATAGGTTTTTCAAAGCTGTAACAATTATCTGGTTCCATCTTTACAATCCAGCATCTCGTGCCTGTTTCTTTTGTCTCTTTCTGTTAAACTAAACTTGGAGTTTTGGGAACTGTCCTTACTCTTTGCCCCTCTGTTTGTGTCTTTCTCTCTCTCTCAATCCCTTCACCTATTCCTGCACATCATGCAGGTCTTATCTTAATTATCAATGACCTAAGGTATGTTTTTTGATTCCTGTCAGATGACTTCTTGGTTTATTGTCTCTTGTTATGCTAACACATTTCACAGTTATTTTTAATTTCTACTCTACCCAAAAAATGTGTGATGTGTGGAAAACAACTGTGTTGACTTTGATTCTCTAATTGTGTATCACTTATTTCTGGAGTGTACTAGATGCTTCATAAACACTCTTTAAATGATTCTTTCATATATTGTGAATAAAGAACACATTAATTTAACCAAACCTATTCTCAATATTTCTCAGGCATCCTGTTTTATTGTATATTGATAAACAAACGTGGTTACATGGGATGGTATCAAAATATATGAGTTTTGTGGCTAGCCCATAGCTTGGCAATTAAGGTGGATGGATCTCACGTGGCAAAATGAGTGGAACAGGTGCACATGTGCAAACATGCATGTCCAGAATCAAGAAATGAGAATAAATAAGGAGAAGAGTTGAGGTGTGACCAATACTCACGGGGTGTGCTTTCTCACATTCTCTCTTTCTTTCTCTGTTATTCTCTAGCATGTAAAAATACCTTCTGGAAAAGAGAGAAGTACAAGCATTTCTAATTGCTTGGCCAATCTACTAGACTTCCCGTATCTTGCTTACTGTGAGTCCCACACTCTGGATGGAGAATGCAGAGTCATTGTCACTGAGAATGCAAGGTAAACAAAACAAAACAAACTGGAATATATTTACCTTAGGCAGGGCTTTGGCAGGTTTGCAGTGGAGTCCTCCAACCAAAACATAATTGGGTAAGAGAGGGCGAGGAAATTCAAGATCCCAGAAGGTTCGAATAAGCCATAAGTCAGCTTTCCTCATGGTCTCGAATAATGTAGTGGGTCTTCCTGAAGGGAGGAAAAGAACAAAATAGAGGAAATAAAAGACCCTTCATAGGTGTATTCTAGGTAATTTTTGGAAATGTGTTAGAATAAAATAACCCAGATGTTAAATGGTTTGTGTTTTGGAACCGGCAGGTGATGTGGTGGTTAAGGTCCTGGATTTACATATGGTAGACTGGTTTCAGTCCTGAACCTGGTAGCTTGAAAATCATGCCAGACCTGTGTGTGTGTGCATGCCCAAAATCCTGAGAGGAAAATGGAGAAAAAGGAATTGCAGCTTGTCCATTTCCTATAGGAGGTGATTTCTCACTTTACCTCTCTAGGTCTCTTTCTGTCTGTGGCCAGAGCCTGTGCCCTATGGCAAAAACCTCAAAAAAAATTTGTGTTTTGAAATAAATTATGTGTACACATACATTTTTGCATAATATAATTGAAATGTCTTATGTGTAAATAAATGCCAGTAGTCTTTAGTATATTACTCTAGTATATTTATAATCATTAATAACTCTTTAAATATTGTTCATTTAATTTTATTCCTTATTATTATTTTTTTAATTTGCTGTAGGGCACGTGCACTCACTAGACAGTGACAGGGACAAAAAGACAGAGAGAGAAATTGAGAAAGCAAGCTGCCCGGTCTGAGACTCAAACCACAGTCGGCCATGTGAGAGTCCAGCTCCTTAAACACCATACTACCTGCTGTACCAATTGTAAATAATAATTAAAGTAAGGCAGTACAGAATTGAATGTGCATTTTCTTTTCATGAAGAATTATTTATTTACTTTTATTTATTGTTACTATTTTTTAATTTTGACAGACACACACACACACACACAGAAAGTGAAAGTGAAAATGCAAGCCTCAAGGTCTAGGACTTGAGGAACCATAATCTGCCATGTGGGATTCCAGTGCCTCAACCACCACACCACCTGCCAGCTCCAGCACTTACCTTCTTTCTAAAACTGCCAAAATATCAGATTAAACTAAAAAACTTGTTGAGGCCCACAATCAAGTAATCCTACCAAATACCCTAAAAGTAACTTTCTAAGAAATACTCAATCTAAAGCTACGATTTATCATGCTAGTCCTTTGATGCTAATACTGCCAATACAATAATGAGATTTTTTAGAGTATGGTTGAATTTTTCATATTTACTACTGCTTTTGGTTCATTTTTTATCTTAACAGTATTAGTTTGTAAAATACATGTTTGCAAATGGCAAACGGAAGATATTCTTTAATAATTAAATAATGATTCTTGTTTTTCCTTAATTTGATTCATATATTCTTTAATGAAGATGAGAGTAATAACTTGGATGTTTATGCTTCGCTAAGACTGTGGATCTTTAAAGAAAAAATTTCCAAGTTCTTAGTGAATGAATTTAGAAACATTAACGTTCTTAAATTATAGATTTCTGTGGTTTGAGGGCAAGCCATTGTATCTCTCAACTAAGAGGAAGTCCTTCCAGTGATAATGGTAACATTTTTTTCAAAGTTAATTTATTCTTCTTAGAGAGTGACAGAAGATTTCCAAAAATGTCTTCAGGCTGAAGTCCACACCTGTGTTTCAACTGGCACAGACAACTGGCAGGACTGAGGAAGCCCAACATATAGGGAAGGTCCTAAAACATGAATCAAGGACCCCTGCAGTATGGGTACAGTTGAAATGTGGTCACTATGCTAGGATCAGGTGTGGGGAAATATTTTGATTTCTAAATAGGGAAATTGAAATACACAAGGAGAAGAATTTTCTCCATGTCACACACGTCATGTTTTTAGTTGTGCTAACAACATGTTTAACTCTTGGATTTACATGTCTGTGTTCATCAACATGTTTCTTGATGTGCCTAATGACTTTTGTAGAAGTGTAAATTTACCTATTAAAATGGGTATATAATTGCTTAAAAATATCCTAAGTGTTTAATTCTCAGGTATCTGACCCCTGGAGTGTCACGAAGGGTGATGGTCACTGGATTCTAACTGACCCCATAATGTTAACCTTTCCTTAATATTTGTGAGATTGATAAATTTTTTGGGTGAGACAAAGAAAGACAAAGAGAAAGAAAGTGAGAAATCACTCCCTAGGGAAGACGATAATGCTGCAATCCCTTCTCCTTTATTCTCCTTTCATGATCCTGGACACTTACACACAATCAAATTGCATTATCCTGGACTCAAACCATGGTCTACAAAGTGGGAGTCCAGTGACATAACCATTATGCCATCTGCTGGGTCCAATCACCTTATATTTTAATGTCATTATCTCACCTTAGAAAGCACATTCCTCTGACTTTGAGTTCATTTAAGATCATTTCAAAAGCACAGAAAAATTAAATCTGTCGAATAAAAACGTGACTTACCTAGTACTTCACTGTAAAACTGATCCCACTTCTTTTCATCAATTGATTTGAACCAAAAGTCAAAATAAAGCACATATATCATATTTTTGACCCTCTCCATAAATGTCATTTTATCTGTTAATTCCGACATTATGATAGGTACATAGGAAGGAGGGAATGGAACAGCTGCTCTGTACTTTTCCCATGTGTAGCCAGGAGAGACACGAAGACTGTACACCAAGGATACATTAAGAAATTCAGCCAGCAGCTCCCCACAAGGACCAATAGCATCTGCAAGAACGACATCAAATCTTGAATCCTTTAGTTTTGTCATAAGTTTCCTATTATAAACTACTTCTTTACATAACTTTTGAATATGGTCAAAATAACCCCAAATTATTTCTTGCATCTGTGAAAAATATTCGAAGAATGTATCTCTTGGAATGTCATATATCCATTTGTTTATCATTTGCATGAAAACATTCTTAAAGTTATCTTTAGTTGTAGCTGTAGGATAAACTTCAAATTTAATAGTGGATTTTTCGTTGGGATTGACCAGAATGGAAGATGAAGATGTCAGAACCGTTGCCTCATGACCTCTCTGGGTAAGTTCATCCAGGATTGTCTTCATATTAATCCAATGGCTGTATTCTGTCGGCCAAACCAGCACCTTGCCACAGCTCCCAAAGCTGAAGCAACAAGTCAGCTGTAGCAGCAGAAGGGTTGAAGTCCATTTCATAGCCATCTTGGTGAAATACAATGCTATTTTCCAAATCATTTTTGTCATCACTCACGCTTATATGCAAGGATAATTCAACCAGGTAGTTAAAATATAACTCTCAATCACTAAAGTAAATATATTATATAAAGAGTCTGAGCATGTGGTTTGAAAGTGAACAAGCAAAAGGTAAATGACCTGTCTTGGTCAAACAAGCATGTTTAGTATCTCTTACTTTAATGAATGTTATCATTTAGCTATACACATTAGCTGTGTATGTACAAGTCATCTATCTTTTGTAGAATATTTGAGAATAATGTCTCAAACAGTAGTAAGAAGTAGTAAGAGGCTCTTGTGTCTATAGTGTCCATGAAACAAAAGTAGAAATAAAATAATTATATGGCTGAATCATTTCTTAGACATTGCAATTCAAAATTATTTTTTTGTGTGAAAAACTTCACAAATAAATTACTGTACAATTCATAAATTTTAAATGTACAATTCAATATTTGTATTATTTCCACAGAATCATAAAATCACTACAATAATCAATTTTAGAATAGTTTCATCTCCTAAAAGAAACACAGTATTTTCCTAGTTAACCTTCAGCTACACCCCACCCAATTTCTGCATTTCCAGTGTCCTAAGGAATCACTGATCTATTGTCTCTATAAATGTGTTAACTCTAAATATTTTACAGACATGGAATTATTTAGTGGATGGTATTTTAGGATTTCATAATATTTCAAATATTTATCTATATTATTTTTATGTATTAAGACTTAATTTATTTCTGTTTTCAAATAATGATCCACAGCATAGATATATTATGTTTTGCTCCCCTTTTCATGAACTTTTTTTCCAGTTTTGGACTATCATTAATAATGTTCTTTATTAACTCTCATGTACAGGTCTTCTGTGGACATGTTTTTATTTCTCCTTCATATATACCTGAGAGTTAATATTGCATTGTCATATGGCGATTGTATATTAACCTTGAGAAATCTTCAAGTGTTTCCAAAATAGTTACCTCATTTTTTATTCCCACTAGTAAAGTTTGAGGGTTAGAGTTTGGATTTTGCCACTTTTTTTGTCAACAATTGGTTTTTTCCTGTTTTTTTTTTTTTTTTTTTTTTTTGTAGTTTGCCAAAGAATGTGTGTGCTCACCAGAGAGAAAGAGAGAGAGATAAGAGAGAAAGCAAGAAGAACACACCCTAATGGGGAGTTGTTGTTTGTCTAAATCCCTTCTTTGCCATTTCTCACTCTTTTCGGGATCTTGTGCACAAGGTACACATGCTCAACGTGTTTGTTAAGGTGTTAGGGGCAGGACTTGAACTGTGCACTTGGCCATGTGGGACCAGCTCCAGGTTGGTTGACTCACCATTTTCTTTTTGACTATTACCATATTTGTCAGCATGAAGTGGTATATCACTGTGGTTTGTATTTGTATGATGCCTGACGATGCTGTGCATTTTTGTTCAAGTTATCAGCCATTTGTATATGTTTCTTGGAGAAATGTCTATTTAGATCACCAGACTTCTTTCTTTTTTTTTTTTTAATTTCAATAGATATTTACTTAAGTAACACATGTCCAGAACAAGTAGTTTTTAAATGATCTGTTTCAGGCTTTACCAACTTCATAAAAATACATTAAGGACAAATGTATCCACAATTTCAACCCCATTACTTCTTTGCCCAGTCTACTCTCTCTTTTCTCCCCCCCCATAAATATGGAATGCTTCAGAATTTGCATGTCTTCCTTGCACAAGGGCCGTGCTAATCTTCTCCATATAATTCCAATTTTAGTATATGTGCTGCATAATCGAGCACTCCCCTGCCTATTTAAAAAGATGTTTTGCTCTAGGGTTCATGACTTGCCAGAGAGAAACAGAAACAGGGAGGGGAGAGGGAGAAAGCACTCCCTAGGGGGCAATGTAACACATGTCTTGTCTTCCATTTCTTCATCCTGTCTCAATTCTGGGCATGCATGCACATGCATTTGCTGTGTTCTTCATGATGCCAGGTCCCACCGCATGGTCTCAGTCCCTGGAGATCTGGATCCCTTACCCACAAAAAATGTCCCTTTGAATATCTTTAAAAATTTTTGTATTTAACTTTTCTTTCTCTCTTTCTTTCTTCTCTTTCTTTCTTTCTTTCTTTCTTTCTTTCTTTCTTTCTTTCTTTCTTCTTTCTCTTTCTTTCTTTCTTTCTTTCTTTCTTTCTTTCTTTCTTTCTTTCTTCATGTTTTTCAAGATACTGAGACTGGGACTTCCATGCAGCCAGTCAAGTGAGATCCAGGAACTTTAATCACAATGCCACCTGCTGGCACCAGCTAGGCAGTTTCTAATAAAGATAACCTTACACCTACCGTGTCACCCAGAAGCTGTTTTCTACAAAGTTTACAGGACAATGAGAAGCATTACTTTTTTTTTAATTTAGAGACATTTTTGCTATTGAGTTAATGCTCTCACTGGAGAGGCAGAGAGAGACAGAAAGCAAAAAATCACTCCCCTGGGAGGATGCTCACACTGCAATCCCTTTTACTCCATTTCCTCTCAGGATATTGGGCGTGAATGTGCATGCTCTTGGTGAGAGTATGAAGCCACAGGATCTAGGTCTCATAACGTGGTTGATTATGAGGGAGTTCAGTGTAGTAACCATTATGCCATCTGCTGGTTCCATCTTTATATATTCTTGATATAACTTCTTTATCATATATTTACATACATGATAGAATTTCTAATATGTTCTCCAGGTCTGTGGTTTGTCTTTCGCTTTATGTTCTCCTCTTTAAGAAAAAAAGTTAAAACTTTATTTATTTTTATTTTGTTATTTTTTATTTTTTGAGAGGTTTTTGCAATAGGGTCCCTGCGCTCGCCAGAAAGACAGACACAAAGTGAGAAATCACCCCCCAGGAGAGATGGCCATGCCACCGTCCCTTCTCCATTCTCCTCTCAAATCTTGGGCACACATGCAAATGACCCTGGTGTGAGTTCAAACCAATGGGTCCAGGACTCTAACCATAGTTGACTACATGGGAGTCCAATGACACAGCCATTACACTAACTACTGGTCCCAAGTAAAAAGTTTATTGAAGTAATACAAGTTATCTTTATTCAATTTTTTTTTTCTTTTTGCCATAAGTAAGATAACATTGTTATACCCAAAGTTACAAAGTTACACTGCTCTGTATTCTGTAGAGATTTGTAGCTATGACTTTCAGGCTTCTGATGCAAATTGAGGTTATTTTTGTATACAATTCGTTTTCTTCAAAAGGATTATGAGTTTTCCCAGTAGCATTTGTTTAATAGGCTGTTTTTTGTTCTATTGGTCTCTTTGGGTGCCCTTACTAAAATCAACAGATAGTAAATGTGCAGATGTAGTTCTCGATCCTAAAGTCTATTCAGTTGATCTGTTCTTCTGTCCACAGTTTCTTCATTGCACAAGTTTTACATTTGATTTTGAAGTCAGGAAATATATAAATCCTCAAACTATCTTCTTTTAAATATTGTTTTATATGTTTCCAGGTTCCATATAAATTTATATATATATATATATATATATATACACACACATACATATATATTTGTATATATGTGTGTGTGTGTGTGTGTGTATGTATTTTGAAATAAACTGTTTTATTAAAAAAAATCATAAGCTAATCCTTTCTTTTTTTTTCTTTTTAAGAGAGATTTTTGCTCTAGGGCACATGGGCTTTTCAGAGTGACAGAGAGAGACACAGCAACAGAAAGTGTGACATCACCCAAGTGGGATGGCCATGTAGCAATCCACCTTCCTCCATTTTCCTCTTGGGAATGTGGGCATGTATGCACACATGGGGAGTGTGAGTTTTAAGCCACTTGAATCAGGACTCAAATGCAATTGACTGTGGGGAGCCCACTGACGTTACTGCTTCACCATCTGCTAGTCCCTAAACTAATCCTTCTAATAACAATGTGAGGCATACAAGATTTTAGCTCTCTTTTAAAGGCATAATTGGAAGTATGTTTCTGTGTTTAGTATAGGACAGATCATGGAGGCAAGCCCCAGGCTTCCAATCTATATCTGTTTTTCAAAGACTAATACATCTTTTAAAATAATCTGATCCCACAATGCTTAATGATGAGACAGAAACACCCATTCCTGGCAGTATAACTCTGGAGCCAACTAAGCTAAGTAATTATCTCTTAACTTGTCACACTTTAGGCCATTGTTATCTTCCTAAATGTCACAGGTATGGGAACACAATGGCTAAGCATGTTTTCAAGTTTTTCCTCTGCCTGGCACCTCCTTACCAATTGCTTAGATGGTAAGCTGAGGCAACTAAGCAAAGGGAGCAGAGGGAAGGCCCACTTATGCATAGACACTGATGAAAACAGGAGTAACATTGCCAGAAACCCTGTGGCTGCTCTGCTCTCCCACTGCCTGGAGGACAAAAGAGTACTTCTGGGTCCAAATTATGCAAAGAAAAGGTTTAACTAGGCTGCTTGCCTGGGGCCTGGCGTGTCAGTTTTACCCGTGCTAAACTAAGAAAATGGCTTACTCCTTTCTCATCTGGGTTTTAAGGAGAGAGCTAACCACTAGGGAAGACAGAAAATTCTGCTTGAGGGGAAAATATGGAGTATATCCAGAGTTATAGATGGTACAAGTGTCAGCACAATTTGCCACTGTATTAAGGAGGAAACAGCAAATAGGATTGAAGGGAAAAAGCTGTCTTAGTAAGTTGTGGTATTTTACCGAGCACAGAACCAGACTAGCAATATCAGGACCTGGTGACCAATCCTGGTATGAGCAGGACTTCCTTATATAAGGCATTGAGTGCCTGAGAACACCTTATAATTCTAAGCAAAATTTTGAGTATATACATGTTTTCCTGCCAAGGAGGTCCTTTTTCTAATGCTGAGATAAAGACTAAAACAGCTGTAAGTTAGTACAGAAAAACCAGCAGATACACTAAGAGTCTGCCAAGTCTGAGAGCTCTCAAAATGATCAAGAAGTTGGAATTGGCCCAGCAGGTGGTGTGGTGTTTAAGCTGGTGGATTTCCACATGATGAACTGTGGTTCAATTCCTAGAGATGTTGGCTTGCTTCCTCACTTTGCCCCTGTCTCTCTTTCTCTCTCTGGTGAGGACAAGTGCCCTACATAATAGTAATAAATAAATAAAACAAATAATTTTTAAAAATTTGGAACATAGTTCTATGGCAAAGTCAACTGAGCACTTGATATGTAATTCTTCCCAGTTGTATTTTAATTTTCAAAATACAGCCCTAGAAACCCTAATTTCAAATATTCTCTAAATTTGGGTAACTCCTGTGGGTAGTCTCAGGGAGCCTTGAATGTTTGTGTTATTCATTCAGCAACAATAAAGCCCAGGATGGATGCGACCAAGCAGGACTCCTTACTCTATGGCATGTGCTAGTATCAGAGGAGGCAGCAGCAAACTTGGAAAATGCTGGAGTTATTCTTTGGAACTGGCCTGTGATGAGAAGTGCCTAATGAAGAACTTAAACCACTGTGTTTTCGTGACCCTTTCTGTCTAGTTTCTGAAGATGGAGCAGACAATCTTTTCTTAAGATACTTGATAACAATGAAAAAAAAAAACAAACCACGTTTATACTGCCCAGTGCTTTCAAAGATTCGGGGTCTGGATCAGCTGGTGGATGAGTTGATGGCTGCATTCACCCCAGTAGCCAAACATGCTTGTCTCCTTGAGGAAGGCTGTCTCCTTGGTGGTGGTATGGACCACCGAGGGTGAAAAGGCACCAGAAGTAAGAGATCTCTTGGAAATACTTCCCCTGGAAGGCAATTTCATGAATGAGGTCTTCTAAACAAATGACATTAAACCAACCACGAAGGCCAGGAAATGTTTATCTGGCACTTCCAAGTCATAGGTTTCATTCCCTTCAGGTAGCTCTGACACACCATGTCCTGCTGCTGTTGCCAAGAATCACTTAGGAATGATTTCAGTCACTTAAATATGGGTCCTTTTTCTTTCCTCTCTTTTCTGGCCAAAAATGTTTGCTTTGCTTGGGTGGTTTTGGGGACATTATAAACTTTCCAATTTTCACCTTTTATAGTGTAGAAACCTGTGCTTTTCTTTTTATTTTGAATACTAATTCATGTCTTTTCATTACAGGCCTACTTAGATTTTTTACTTCTTTTTGAATCGATTTCAAAATTACTTATTTTTTATTTTTCTTGTGTCTACCTGTGGTGGAATTTCTGTCACACCAAGTCAGAGTGGAGATAGAATGTTGTGGCTGACATGCAATAGGCTTTCACTGTTTTTAATAAAGTAAGTGATTTTTCATAATCAATGTTTTTTGTATATGCTATTAGGACTATTTCTAGAGACTTTTTATTTTTGAGGTTCAATAGTATCTTTTCTTAAGACAAAATACTTTAAAGATATAGTTTATGTAGTGAGGTTTAAGAAATATCTGTAGTGGAGGCAGCAGGAGGCATGGAGGTTAAGGTGCTGGACTCCCACATGGTCGACAGTGGTTTTAATCCTGGACCTGGTGGATAGAAACTCAAGCCAGGTGCATGTGCGTGGATGCCTACTATCCTGGAAGGAGATAGAGGAGAAGTGTTTGCTGTGTGGCCATCCCCCTGGGGAGTAATTTCTCACTTTGTCTCTCTGGAGTACATGTGCTCTACAGAAAAAAAAAAAAAGAAAAAAAAAATCCTCTTAAAAAAGATACATCTGGAGTATGATGAAGCTCATGTAAAGAAACTTGCTGTGATACCAGTCATATGAAAGTATAGCACATCTAATTATGCATAGTACATAATGCTTGATACTGATAATAAATGACCTTAACACCAGTTTATGTATTTGCTGTAAGAGGGAACTTCAAACAATTTATCAAAATACAATATTAAAATATAAATTTATTTTGATGGATAACTTTTTGCATCTCATTCCTAGTTTTTTGATAATATGCATTTTCTATGAATATTTAAAGGGTTCTTCATACTATAACTTTTACAATTATTTCAGACCATGCATTCTTCAGAAAGAGAGAGAGAGAGAAATACTCAATGGGGCATAGTCACTCAACACTCCCTTTTATTCCTCTTCTACATGTAATCAAGATTTGGGGTATCCATGCACTAGTACCTGGTGTATTTTAGAAAATGCTAGGCTGGGAACTGAGCTGCAGTCAGCCCTGTGGGATCTAGGTCCATTTGTACCGTGTTTAGCCTCTGTGGTGCCAGACTGTCCTCTTCCCACGTGTTCTCCAATGAGACAAAGGAGTGTCCTATTTATAACTTATATGGGGAATGCAAGGAGTTAAATTTTTCTCCATGCACTAGTACCTGGTGTATTTTAGAAAATGCTAGGCTGGGAACTGAGCTGCAGTCAGCCCTGTGGGATCTAGGTCCATTTGTACCGTGTTTAGCCTCTGTGGTGCCAGACTGTCCTCTTCCCACGTGTTCTCCAATGAGACAAAGGAGTGTCCTATTTATAACTTATATGGGGAATGCAAGGAGTTAAATTTTTCTGTAGTGAAATGAATTCATTGCTATTATTCTCCAGATGCAGAAATGCCTTTGATGGGGCAAGTGATCATGCCCCTGAATGTCTCATGCGCATGGACTCTGACCAGACCAGCTAATACCATTTGCAGGTTGTTGTCAAACTTCATAAGAGGTAAATGGAAATCGTTGTAAGGATGATCAATACTTAGGTAGGAGTTGGCTTCCTTAAGAAAGATTTCAAAGGTAAATTCGACCAGCAATGAATAAAGGTGCCTGAAACCGTCTCCATGTTGTGATCCTCTTATACCAGACTTTCAGTCAGCTTTGACCACCGGTGTTTGCCAATACACCAGACTATTTAGGGTGACCCTGGAACTGAACCCAGGCCTTCTGTGTGGCTTCAGCATTGAATAGTGGTGCACTACTAGGTACATCACTGAGGCGGTGCTGATTTGTCAGATAATATAAGGTACAAATCTATGAGAAAACTAATTGGCTTAATTTTTATTTACTTAATTATCAGTGATTGTTGTCATATTTTATGTTATAGTCCATTTCTACCTGTGTGAATTGCCAAGTCTTATTCTTAATTGATTTGCATATTAGATAGTATTTACAATTTGTTTAAGTTGGTTATTTATAAGTGTTTTTTAATATGATGGATACTAAAATAGGGTTTGTCCCACAGTGTGATTTATTATTGTTAATTGAGAATATACTTTAGGAAAAGTAATTTAGGCTCAAGTGCATAGTTTCACAATATAATTTTCTAAAAAGTACAGTTGCTCTATTTTTTAAAAATTATATGATGAACTTTATTGAAAATTCTCTTGTGAACTCTTTCTAGAATTCCTCTATTATCAAAATTTTACTTCATTTTATGATAAATTAGTGTCCTAGGTTTGAGAATGTTGTGAGACTTGGATGAGGGTCTCTTTACAACAGTTTTTCTCAAGTTGAATTACTTTGCCCATGAAGAGCCTCCCTGATGTGTAGCTTAGAAAGGGCCCTTGGAAGCCATATTGTTTGATTTACATCTTTCCTATAAAATTTTGGTAATATCTGTATTATTTGCATTGCTACTGATTATAAAAGGTCTTAATATGCTTGTTTCAAAGAAAATGATGAATACATTATTTTCACTCATGAACAGGATTTAATGTTTCTGTATTAGTGTGATGGAAGAGAGAGGTCAATAAGCTTCTGAAGAATGGGAGAAAATGAAGCATGCTCTTCCTATACAATTATAAAGAATAATAATCATGATGGCAAACTGTCTTCCACTAACTCATTAAATTTCACAACATGTCTGTAAGATAGCTGTGATACTGTGTCATCCTTGGAAGCAGTGGACGTAGATACATACATGTACATGGAGAAAGGATGACTATTTGATGCATTTCTTTAGAATACAGTTCTGTATTGGGGCCAGCAAATGGCATAGTTGTTAAGGGCACTGGATGCCCAGATTGTTGACCATGGTTCGTGTCCCTGACTTGGCAGCTTGCTTTCCCACAATGCATCCCCCTTAACCCAACACACACACTTGCTCTCTTGCTCTGTCCCTCACTGGTCAATTTATAAATAAATCAAAAAAATAAAGTTAGGAAAAATAATTCTTAAAAAGAATACAGCTCTACATTATTGCAATATGAAAAAAAGCCTGTAGATTTTCATCAAAGATTAATGAGTGAGAGTAACCAGTTAAATTTTTTTAATGACTACGAAAAAAAGAAAAGAAATCCATAAACCCAAAGATTTCCCTGCATAGTTTACATTTATATTATGAAGCAATGAGAAGTCATTATAGTAGGATTTCCACATATGTTCCACTGAAAAATGACTGGGTATGAAGAAACTAAATACATTGTTGTTTATAAAAAACAATCTTGAAACTGGATGTAGAGTAATGGCCAAGTAGTACTACCAGTATCCAAAAACATACAGAAGAATGAGTTGTAAAAATTCTCATTTTTGGATTGTTACTATGGAAAATGTTAAAACTGGAAGAGTTTGCAGCAAAAGGATGTTAAAGATTTTTGAGTATTTGTAAATCGTATTAATAGGCACAGTAGCATCATTTCTTAGCTATACTACTCCTTTTTCTTCTTGTTGGGTGTTTTAGCAAATTTCTGCCAACAAAACAGACAAAATTTGGAGATGATGACTATCACAGATGCCACACAGGCCAGCAGGAACCCGATCACATCCAGAGAGTGGTACTGGAACCAGGTGAGGTCGTGGGCAGCCGGCCGCAGGTGCTTGGCCCCTTTGTGGCGCATGACAAACTCGATCCAGAAGACTGCCCGATCCAGGGGCTTTACTGGCTGGTCATGTTGAATTCTTGACAACTTCATTGCATTCTCTTTGTATCTGAAGCAGAAACAAATGATACCCTTCTGAAGCAAATTAATTTGTCTAAGAATATGAGTCTAAGAATGGCTTTTAAAAGAGTCATATGAATGATTCAGTATAAAGTCGTCAGACTTCTAAAATATGGGTCTATTTTTATTTTTGCTTGTGTCATCATAGAATTTTAGGTTTCTAGGTAGGAATATCCTGAATGACAAATATTTTTAAGAGTGAACATGGAAGGCTAGGAGCGATCATTGAATATCTTAAGGAGAGGAAATGGTAACCACTCCAGGAATTATAAATGAAATAGTGGAAATGCAATTTGAGGGTGATCATCTTGAAGCTTTCAAAGAGGAACTGTGATGTGGTGCATGAAGTTACTCTACTTTCATTCTTTTCTACTGTCCTCTACTGTGTTCTTTCCACTCAATAGTGAGAATGACACTTTGGTAAACACACTTCAGATTATGATAAAATAATGACAAACCAAAATGTCCCTGTCTGTCGTCTCATCACATTTAGAATAAAATTCAAAGCTCTTTGGAATATAATGCCTTATGTGGTTAGACACTGGCAACCTTTTCTAACACTTGGCCCCGCCTATTCTGCTTTGACTCCTTGGTTATCTACAGTTCTGTGGGACCACCAAAGGTATCCTCAACTTAGCACTCTTACCTTTTCTGTTCTTCTTTCCCTTTTCTGGTACATTCTTCCATAGAACTCTCCAAGGCTTGATTCTATTTCATTTGTGAGGGCTTGGCTTAAATATACCAGACAGCCTTTTTCTGGCTACCTAACTATATCCTCCTTAGATATTTCTTCTATTTCTTTCTATTTATTTTTCTACTTGATTTCTAGAATATTAATGCATTGCATTTTCTATAATAAAACCTTAATTTATGGTGGCAGCAGGTGTGATGGTGGCTAGAACAGTACACTCCTACATGGTTGACAGCAGTTTGAGTCCCGGACCTGGTTCTTCCTTTCTCATTTTTCCTCTCTCTCTTTCTCTCTCTGGTGAGCACAAATGCCGTATAGCATGCTTTAAAAAATAGTACAATTAATTAATGTATAAAATAAACATTATTTAAATATGAAATACATAAGAAACACGACATATCTGATACAAAGGTAAAAAATTCACTATAAGCTTAACATTTATGGTGATGTGAGACCAATATACATGCTAATTAGATTGTCATAAGCAAAGTCACAATTGTCCAGCGACACACCTTTCTCATGGGGCCTTTTAACTACTAATTCTTTCCCCAAATTAATTGTTATCCAGAATGGTTTCAATATGGGTTAGTTCTGCTTATTTATTTATTGGAATTATCTTTTATGTATATCTTAGTTTCTTAATTTCACCTCTTTTTGGTGATACAGTCATTCCTTTATAGTATTCTGGTGCATGAAAATATCACCTAAGTATGATAAATGAAGATATAAGTTTGAACCATTTTTGGCCATTAGTAAGAGTTCTAGTTTTTTTTTTTTTTTTTTAAGAGATATTTGCTAGAGATGCACTTGCTCGAGAACAGACAGAGAGAAAGAAAGTGAGGGAGAAAGTGAGGAATCTTCCCTCAGAGGGGATGAACATGCAGCAATCCCTTTTCCTCAACTTACTTCTCAGAATTGTGGGCATGCATGCACACAACCCAGCATGAGATAAAGAATGCAATTTAAAAATGGAAAAGGCATTAGAATTCACATTTCTTTAAAGAAACTAGTCAATGGCTTATAAAACATGGAAAGATAATGCCCTAGGCATATGAGAAATTCAAGTCAATACCACAATGAGATACCACTTTATTCTTACTAGGGTAGGTTTAATGAAAAGACAGATAATGAAAACTGTTAGCAGCAATGTGGATAGATTAGAACTCTCCTGTGTGGGAGTGAAAGCTTGCGACTTCTCTGGAACATTGTTTGGTAGATTTTCATATACTTGTTTCCAATATTACCCAGAAATCCCCCCCCCTTTTTTTAGAGGTTTTTTGCTATAGGGTGTGTGCGCTCGCCAGACAGAGAGACAGAAAGCAAGAAATCACCCCCCAGGGGGGGATGGCCACGCCACAATCCCTTCTCCTCCATTCTCCTCTTGGGATCTTGGGCACACACGCACATGCACCTGGCGAGAGTTTTAAGCCACCGGGTCCAGGATGTGAACCGCTGTTGACTACATGGGAGTCCAGCGACATAGCCATTATGCTAACTGCTGGTCCCACCCAGAAATACCATTCTAATTCCTACCAAAAAGAATAAAATAAAGCACACTCACAAACTATATATGAAAGGTTTTCAAAAATTTATGTTAAATTCCCATTATAAAGATACTATGCATAAGACTTTTTTGTATCAAAATAGTATCTACTTTAATCTTATTTTTACAGACTTTTTGATGTCTCCTCAAATAATGTTAGTAATAATGTCAATAGTAAAACCAAAACATTCATGAACTGATAAATAAAGAAAAAATAAAGTTGGGTATACCCATACCATTGAATATTCTTAGCAATAAATAAATGAACAGTAGATATATGGATGTAACTGAAGAATATTGTACTAGTGAAAGAAGCCAGTTACAAATGACAATAAATGAGATGATTTATTTATATAAAATCTACATGGAGGAGAAAATCTACAGAACAGAAAGTAAATTGAGAGTTGTCTATGGCTAGAGAATCATAAAAAGTTAATTGTATGCCACAGGATGTTTTATTTGTGATGATTAAAAAATCCTACAAACATATTATTTTGAGAGTTTCATAAAGCTATAAAAATACTAATTATATTTGCATTTTACACTTTAAAGAAATAAATTTTATATTCCATATTGTATTTATAATTATAAAACCTATGAAAATATTGAAAATAAAAGGCAAATTTCAGAAGAAAAATGATTTTTTGTAGTAAACATTTTTAATTAAAATATATATTTCATTTTAAAATATTATTTATACTTAAATTTCTATTCAGCATACTTTTGTGTTATCATTTATATTTATAGTTAAATATTTACTGAATTAAAATATTGTGTCATATTTTTTTTTTTGAGAGAGATTTCTGCTATAGTGCATGTACAGACACCAGAGAGACAGAGACAGACAGGGAGACAGCAATTGTCCCCCCAGAGGGCATGGCTGTGAATAAATATCTTCTCCCTCGTTTCTCCTGTTGGGATTTTATTCCCGCGTGCACACGTGCCTGGTGTGAATTTTAAGCTGCTGAGTCTGGGACTTGAGCCATGATTGACTCCGTGGGAGTCTATCTATGTAGCTGTTATGCCAACTGCTTGTTCCAAATATTTTATCACATTTCTGTAAGTTTATTATTTTTTTCTTGTGGGGATTCTGCCATATTTAGGTAGCTTGTCTTTATTAGAATTGGTTATCAAAATTTAATTTTTAAATGTGTGTTTAGAAATTCTTGGACTAATTGAATACCCATTAAATAATGTGGTTCAAATGCAAATTTGAAGTATCTGTCTGGTAGAAATGGGTTCAGATGGGTTTAGTTATTTAAATCCATTCAAAATTAATCTTTTCGAAAAGGATGAATGTTATCCTCACTGTTAACCAGAGATCTGATCTGTGAATCATATGGAATAAAAAAAAAATGTTATACTCACGAAGGGTCATTAATGACTGTCTTCATTGCATTGAGCAAATCTGTACTTGACATGGTGTTGAAGTCCACTCTAACAGCTGCTCCCTTGGCCTTCAGATGAACAATGTTTTGAGGTTGATCTGCAAACAAAGGAATTCCCACCATGGGGATCCCATGATAGATGGCCTCATAGATGCCGTTAGTGCCACCATGAGTGATAAAAGCTTTGGTTTTTGGATGACCTGGAATTGCATAAGGTTTAGCAAAGTTATTATGCGTCTTAGCAATGAGATGAGAAATACACAGTATAAGGGACTAAAAGCAGCAATGTTCAGTCTTCATTAAAATGACTTTGTTATTTCAGAACAAGAAGCACATTTGTGCCATAGAATAAGCGAAAGGTATGTGAAGAGGTGGTGTGTGACTTTAAACTCCAACAATGGCTACAAGATTGCTGTCTCTGGTATCTACAACTATCCTCTCTCTTTCTTCTTTTTCCTTTAAATATTTTTTAAATTATTCATTTAATTTCTTATTATTTCAAGTTTGCTCTAGAAAGTGTGTGCTCAGCAGAGGGACACAGAGAGAATGAATAAAGGAAAGCAAGAAAGCAAGTCACCTGATTTGAACTTGAATTGTGTTAGATCATAAACTCATAAAGTAATGAAGTCACTGAGCCTGATAGGTAAAGTGTCCAGGGCAGCAGAGGTGACGTGGTGGTGGTATTGGTATTAGGAAAAGGAAAAGCTACACTTTATCATGAAATGTGTTATTGCTTCATGATAAAGATTGTGTAGTTTTTTTTCCCGTAGAAAATGCAGCATCATTGGCAATAAAGAGCAGCTGTTATTTTTCAGTAGCATTTGATATATTCTTCCTGGACGTAAAAGGAGAGATAGAAATCTGTAGATAAAGGAGACAAATATAAGTAAGAAAATTATTTTAAACTGCCTTTTTGAGATAATCACAGTTGTACTAAAGATGCTTTGATCTTACCACAAAGAATGTAGCTGTGTACAAAAAATTAGCAAGTTTTATAGTTTATTCGTTTCACCCCTAGGACTGGAAAATAGATCTCAAATTTATTTAGTTAAGTTTAAAAATAAATGTTCACAAATTTTGATTCCTGTTGAACTATCATCTCATTGGCTGTTACTCATATTTTTAGTATTTCTTCTCCAGAGTCTTACCAAGAAGGTCATTCTGGGGAATCCACTTGTATAGCTGAGTGTTGGTTCCTAAAGTTGCTGGTTTCTTGCCATTAAATCTCCATATGACCTGTTAGGAAAAGAAAAGAACACATTTTATGAGTCAAAATGGGAAGGTTAAAGTGTGTTAGAGTTCTAAAAACCATCCACCTGGTAGATATAAAAATTGTAATACAGTATTCTATACAGTGAGAACAATGAAAGACAGATAAATAGACTATCCACATTTCACATATTTGTTTTTATAATCAGTTATGCAAGATAATCCTGATTTTCTCACATAGTAGCTTAGACAAGTGCTATGATCAAAGACAAATCCAGGTTTATAAAAAATTATTTAGTTTCTATAATTGTACAGCAAATTACTGATCAAATACATGTCTGTTTGTGGATGCAGTTGGCATAGTTGTTGAGGCGCTGGACTCCCACATGACCAACAGAAGTTCAAGTCCCTGATATGGTAGCTTAAAACTCATGCTGGTACATATGTATGTGTGCCCAAGACTTCCAAAGAGAATGAAGGAGAGAGGATTTCAGCATGGTCATCTTCCTGGGGTATGATTTCTCACTCTCCTTCTTACTATTACTGTCCTCTGGTGAATGCACATTCCCTATGGCCAAAACCTAAAAAAATATTTTTCAAAAATAAGTAAATAAGTAGGGAACCAGCAGTTAGCATAATAGCTATGTCGCTGGATTCCCACGTAGTCGACTGCGGTTCGTGTCCCGGACCCGGTGGCTTAAAACTCACGCCGGGCGTGTGTGCGTGCGCGTCCAAGATCCCGAGAGGAGAATGGAGGAGAAGGGATTGCGGCGTGACCATCCCCCCCTGGGGGGTGATTTCTCGCTTTCTGTCTCTATGTCTCTCTCTGTCTGTCTGGCGAGTGCACGTGCCCTACAGTGAAAATCTCTCCAAAAAAAAAAAAAAGTAAATAAGTAAATAAAGTTTGTTGAAATATCCAAAATGGTGATGTTGCTAACTTTTTTCTGTTTATTAACACCTGAGTAATGAACTACCAGGCCTTGACAGCTGTCATTGACAGGCAGAATTTCTTCAATAGATCCAAGCCATTTTCATGCCTAGGACCAAATAAAGTCCTGATTATGAATTCCCAAGCAAACTTCTTAAATGGGAGTATAATTTATAGGTAATCAGATTCAATTTGCCTCAAGAATGTTAAAGAAACCTTTGGTTCTCAGGAAAACATTTGCTTTGCTTATTTGCAGAAAACTATTTCAAACGGGAAACTACAAAATAATTTATAAAATACCCAAATAGTGCAGTGCATTTTATACATTAGAATCATAAGTTTCTATTACGTTTTATGGAGTTGGGAATGTCTGAGTCTTTTCCTGAGCCAGGCTTGCATTTGCTTGATTCCTTTTCCCTCAGTCCCAATGAGTGTTTAATTTAAGGGACAAGAGGTAGAGTTCTTTTGGGGCCACATTTTTTTATGCATAGGTCCATGTTCACTGTTTCTCTTACTTCTGGCTACCTCGGACACTGGCATACTTTCTTTAACTGGGTCCTGCCAATATCTTTTTTTTCTTTTTTTTTTTAGTCTTTTGAGTAGTATCCTTTACAGAGATAACAGAGGGACACAGCAGCTGTCCACCACTGGGGCCCTTTAACTCACCTTTTGGGGAATCTGGGCAAGAGCTGATGCAATCGCATTGGCCCTGTCTTCTGTAATGTTATTGACCATTGACCCCAGAGAAAACACCACCACTCCATTTTCTCCAGAGCTCTGGACAAAGTCTTCCATTTCCTGTAAAGTAAAACATGTGCTCCATCAGAAAATAGCAACCAGCAGCACAAACCGATATGAGGGGTTGGTAAAAATATCTAAGGAGAGAATATCATGGAGTATAAGGAATTATTGACATGACAGGTGTTTTATTTTTGTGTGTGTGTGTGTGTTTTTTTTAGAGAGGTTTTTGCAACAGGGAGTGTGTGCTCTCCAGAAACAAAGAGAGAGCGACTCAGAGAGAAATCATCTTCCAGGAGGGAAGGCCACATTCCTTGTCCTCCAAGTGGGTGGAGAATTTCTTTTCAAAATTGTGAGCATGTATCCACAAGTCCATGGTGTGATTCTTAAGCTGTGAGTCCAGTACTTGAAGCACAGTGGACAATGTGGGAGTCCAGTGCCATACCACTCCGCCACCTGCTGGCCCTGTGACAGGTGATTTTAAACTGGCTTGATCAGTCAGGATTTTGATAAAGAGATATTTAACATGAGATAGTTGTACTCTATTAGACATATTTATATAAATACGTATGTTGGAAATAAATGTAATAGAAAGCAATGGTTATGGAAGGTGATATTAGAAATGATTATACTCAAACTCTTAATTTATGATTTTATTAATTACTACTGCCTGGTTTTAATATGCCTTAATTCTCTATAATTAGGATTATACTAAATAACTTGTGTTTATACTAGGTGAAAAACTGGACAATTATTTTAATTTGAAGCCATTAATACTTTTCTTTTATGACTCTAAGCATTGACGAAAAAATTTGAGATGATTTTATACCTATAATTTCTCAAATCTGAAATCTTTATAATTGATCTTTTTTCAGAAATCCCCCCAACTTTTGTCATAAAATAACCCTTAAAATTTAACTGCAGTGTAAGTAACAGTGACAATCAGGAGTTTGGTATTATGGTTCGGATTTTCAGAAATAGTCCTAAGAGTTCTGTTTATATTCAGAATAATACATATAGAGTTAAATAACTGGGTTCAACTTCAACTTTTTTTTTTTTTTTTTTTTTTTGGTGTGACAGCTTTTTCCCTGATGTTACACCATCAAACTAATGTCCCAGTAGAAAGTGCTGCTGTATTACTGGCTGTGGGGGACCCTCATCATGCCCTGACCTTGTTCCACAGAGAGAACTTACACCACTGGAGAGAGTTCCCTCAGGCCCATCTCAGTGGAGATCTGCTCACGCTCTTGCTCAACTCAATTCATGCTACATTATTAAGCTCCTGGGGAAGATGTGTTTTCTTGGAAATGCTTGAGAATTATTCTGACCTGTTTTTCAAAACCTTTGTCAATTTTTAAAATAAATTCTTTCCATATACAATAACTTAGGACTGCTCAATGTATCTGCCACCGATAAACAAAATATTGAGTCAGAAGTTTTTGAATATCTTGTCAGAAAGTATACAGATCTACTTTAACATTTCTGCTATTTGAAATTCATTGTTTTTTTCTCTGTGTAAAATAATGACAAAATCTTCACATTTTATAAACCTTTCTTTCTGAATCTCATTATTATCATAAAACTTATTTTCAAAACTTATTTTAATTCTCAATAGTAATAAAAATCCCCTGCAAGACTGGAAGCCATTTTGTCTATGGCCAGTTTGGACCCCTGTGGATGGGTGTGCCTCTCTGGCAAACATAACACACTCTTTTTCATTAAGAAAACAAAAACCAAGAAACAAAAACCAAAACCCAAAACAAAACAAAAACATTTTTAGAAAAAAGAAAAGAAATTTCAAAGGTATAATTTTAATCTGAAATAAATTTTAATCTGAAATAAATTTTAATATAAGAGTCACTGTACTATTCCTAGAAATATCTGGAACATTTTTTTGTGTGTTTTTTTTTTTTTTTTTTGATTCCAGACACCACTTACAATGTGTAAAGTAACTTGTATTCAAAGTTTTCTCTAACTGGCTTACTGCTCAAAGTTTCCTTCCTTCATGCTACTCATTGTCATTCTGTATGATATCAGCTGCACTTACCATTGGAAGTATTTTGATTAATTAATATCTTTTCTGAATTATTATAATATGAATTAAAAAAAACATGGAAAGCTACTGTAGATACCATAGACAGTGTAGGAGGAGGGTTGGAAATAGCAGAGGTGAGAGGGGAGGAATGGGGGGCAGGAAATATATAAGAAATGAGAAATGGAAAATTATTCCTTGTTGATAACATGTATGGCAATATTCTTGATGGAGCCAATATACATTGTATTCACGGTGGGAAAACTAATTTTTGAATGCTGTAATGATGTACAATGAATCAATGTAAAGTTAGTAAACTTAAAAATTAATACTCAAAGAAGGGAAAAAGAAAGAAAATTTGAAATAATTTATTGTAAGAATGTGTGGAAAAGTATTTTAAAAAGTATAAAAATGAAATGAGATTCAACCAGTCTCATTGTAGAGCTATCTCTTGTTTGAAATTAACATGCTTTCACTCAGTTCTTTATTATGTTCCTATAATTAAGTGTATATGCGTGATACATATTTTAAAAATCATAATTCTAATGGGTGTACCTTATCAACCTATAAGAGAATAGAGATTTTATACATGTATCATTTTGCCTCTCAGTTTCCAGCTAAAGCTTGCTTAATGTAGTTAAGCATTCTTTGATAAGATGATTATAATGAGGTTCTATGCATATATTACAAGTTTTTAAAACAGCCTTTTGTATAATATATCTGTATTTCTTCAACAAACAACTGTCACAAATATTGATTGTGCACATATAATTAGTTTTCTCTCTTCAGAGTTTCATTTTTTTTTTTTTTTTTAGATAATTGAAAGCTAACACTTCTGAGCATCTTTTAAGGATATGGATGATTGTGGGCTTTTGTCATTTTCTCTAATGCCTTACTTCTGTTAGACATTAGAAAAATGATCTGACAATCTAATGATTTATGGAAAAGCAGGCAGCTTTGGGGTGACAAATAATTTACTAATGAAGAATAGGAGGACAAGCATCCCAACATTGACCTGGTTTCAAATCTTACTTCTCTAATGTGTTAACAATAGCACATATTGCTAATTATTGCTCTTATATTGTTATTCATCCTTCTTCTTCTCCTTCTCTGCTTCTCTACCTCCTCCTGACCCTGCCACTGTTCCTTATTGTGAATGAGGTCACCTTTCAAGAATAGAAGTAATTGCTTAACATTTCCACAAATTGTACCACAGTTTTTGTACTTTGTGAAAAGTATCGTACTTTTGTTCTGGTGTATGGCCTGAACATTTTGCATTTGAAATGAAAGTGAAGTTTTAAGGGTTGAATTGAGTTCTCTGAGTTAGATTGCTGCCAGTAATAAGGTAATAAAATAATTTCTCATGATAGCGTACAAAAGTCGGGTAAGAATGCTAGCCTTTCCCTTGCATTTTGGAAGTATGTATCAAGTTCAATGTTATATGATGAACACAAGTGATATTAAGTTATATGTTAGAATTTTGTGCTCCTTTATAAGGCACAACATTCTATAGACGAACAGAATTCTTTGAGATTCTACAGTAATGGCAGTTGTTTGATACAAATTGTAGAAATATTTGCTTTTCATTGTACATGCCGTGTACATGCCATGTACATTTTTCTCTGTGTTCGTTCTGTCAGTGAGCTAGGATGTCAATTCCTATGTTCCTCAAGGGAGCAACTGTGAGGAGCAATTCTGTCAATTTGGACTAATGCAGAGAACACCTGATAAAATAAATGATCGCATATGCTCCATAGTCTAGAAAGGTGACCCTCAAGTGCAGAATGGTTTAAATGCTAGAATGAAAGCAAGTACACATTGAATGACTGCAAATATAGTTGGAATCATTATATTGTTTTCCTATTAATGAGGAGTGCTTTTCCCTTTTAGCCAGGCTACTGGTGAAGAGTTTCAGCCCTTACAATGAAAGTATAGCATTTCAACTTGCTCATTTGATTGTCAAAATGCATGTGTCTGCTTTTAAATTAATAAACTGGATAGCTGTTCCACACGACCTTGCTGGAGAATACAGTGTTGAATCATAGGAAAACAAGTTTACATAATTGAGGAATTATATATAAAGTGGCACTTTTCAATGAAAAATATCAGTAATGGAAACAAAACAGCAATGATGTCAATACTGCATATTACTCTGGATCACTGAATTTGTGCCTGATGTATTTTAATTGTTTTATTTGTGTTTCCTTTTTCCCACCAGAACTTATTATGAGGCTGGACAACTGTGATATGAGTCAGTGTGGTCACATCTATGAACGTTCTAGTTTAGTTTTGTATCATCAGTTGCCGAACTCTCACAAGAATGTCCTAATTGGTTCCTCTTTCCATAGTCTTATTATTCTGCAATTTCATGCAGTGATTAATTACATCTTGAGGTTATTTTTTAGAAACAAACAAACAAACAAGCCACCCAGATTACGTCTCTTTGTCTGATGTTTTTGCAAATTTTTCACAATTTCCTTAATAGATTTTCAAAGGTGTAACAATGATCTGGTTCCAACTTTACAATCCAGCATCCCATGCCTATTTCTGTCTCTTTCTGTTAAACTACACTTGGAGTTTTGGGAACTGTCCTTACTCTTTGCCCTTCTGTTTGTGTCTTTCTCTCCCCCTCAATCCCTTCATCTATTCCTGCACATCATTCAGGTCTTATCTTAATTATCAATGACCTGAGGTATGTTCTCTGATTCCTGTCTGATGACTTGTTTTTGGGTCTCTTGTTATGCTAACACATTTCACAGTTATTATTAATTTCTACTCTACCCAAAAAATGTGCGATGTGTGGAAAACAACTGTTTTGACTTTGATTCTCTAATTGTCTATCACTTATTTCTGGAGTGTGTTTGATGCTTCATAAACACTCTTTAAATGATTCTCTCATATATTGTGAATAAAGAATGCATTAATTTAACCGAACCTATTCTCATTATTTCTCAGGCATCCTGCTTTATGGCATATTGATAAAGAAATGTGGGTACATGGAATGGCATCAAAATATATGAGTTTTGTGGCTAGCCCAAGCATGGCCATTAATATGGATGGATCCCACATGGCAAAATGGGTGGGTGGAATCATGAAAAAGGCTGGACCATGTGTGTGCATGCGTGTCCAGAATCATGAAAAAAGAGTAAATAATGAAAAGAGTTGAGGTGTAACCAATCCCCATGATATCTACTTTCTCACTTTCTTTTCTCTCTTCTGTTACTCTTTAGCATGTGAAAATATCTTCTGGAAAAGAAAGGAGTATAAGAGTCTCTAATTGATCACCCAATCTACTTGACTTCCCGTATCTTGCTTACCGTGAGTCCCACACTCTGGATGGAGAATGCAGAGTCATTGTCACTGAGAATGCAAGGTAAACAAAACAAAACAAACTGGAATATATTTACCTTAGGCAGGGCTTTGGCAGGTTTGCAGTGGAGCCCTCCAACCAAATCGTAATTGGGTAAGAGTGGACGAGGAAATTCAAGATCCCAGTAGGTTCGAATAAGCCATATGTCAGCTTTCCTCATGGTCTCGAATAATGTAGTGGGCCTTCCTGAAGGGAGGAAAAGAACAAAATAGAGGAAATGAAAGACCCTTCATAGGTGTATTCTAGGTAATTTTTGGAAATGTGTTAGAATAAAATAACCCAGATGTTAAATGGTTTGTGTTTTGGAACCAGCATGTGATGTGGTGCTTAAGGTCCTGGACTCACACATGGTAGAATGTGGTTTGAATCCTGGACCTGATAGTTTGAAAATCATGCCAGACCTGTGTGTGTGTGCATGCCCAAAATCCTGAGAGGAAAATGGAGGAGAAGGGAATGCACCTTGTCCATTCCCTATGGGAGGTGATTTCTCACTTTATCTCTCTAGGTCTCTTTCTGTCTGTGGCCAGAGCCTGTGCCCTATGGCAAAAACCTCAAAAAAAAATTTGTTTGTGTTTTGAAATAAATTATGTGTGCACATACATTTTTGCATAATATAATTAAAATGTCCTATGTGTAAATAAATATGTCAGTAGTCTTTATTCTAATATTACTCTAGTATATTTATAATAATGAATAACTTTTAAAAGAATTATTCATTTAAGATTATTCATTATTATTATTTTTTAATTTGCTGTATGATACGTGCACTCACTAGACAGAGACACAGAGAAATTGAGAAAGCAAGCTGCCCGGTCTGAGACTCAAACCACAGTAGGTCATATGGAAGTCCAGCTCCTTAAACACCATACTACCTGCTTGCCCAATTATAAATAATAATTAAAGTAAGGCAGTACAGAATTGAACATGCATTTTCTTTTAATGAAGAATTATTTATTTACTTTTATTTATTGTCACTATTTTTTAATTTTGACAGACTCAGAAAGACAGAAAGTGAAAGTGAGAAAGTAAGCCTCAAGGTCCAGGACTTGAGGAGCCATGGTCTGCCATGAGGGAGTCCAATGCCTCAACCACCACACCATCTGCCAGCTCCAGCATTTACCTTCTTTCTAAAACTGCCAAAATATCAGATTAAACCAAAAAACTTGTTGAGGGCCACAATCAAGTAATCCTACTAAATACCCTTAAAGTAACTTTCTAAGAAGTACTCAATCTAATAGCTACAATTATTATGCTAGTCCTTTGATGCTAAAACTTCCAACGCAATATTGAGGTTTTTAGAGTATGGTTGAATTTTTCATATTTATTATTGCTTTTGGTACATGTTTAGATCTTAACAATATTAGTTTGTAAAATATATGTTTACAAATGGCACATGCAAAATATTCATTAATAATTAAAATAATGATTCTTCTTTTTCCTTAATTTGATTCATATATTCTTTAATGAAGTCAAGAGTAATAACTTGGGTGTTTATGTTTCACTAAGATTGTGGATCTTTAAAGAAAATATTTCAAGTCCTTAGTGAATGAATTTATAAACATCAAAAATCTTAAATTATAGATTTTCGTGGTTTGACGGAGAGCCATTTTATCTGTCAACTATGAGGAAATCCTTTTAGTGATAGGCAAACATTTTTTTCAAAATTAATTTCTTCTTTTTTTTTTTTTTTGAGAGATTTTTGCTATAGGACGCATGTGCTAACCAGACAGACAGAGAGAGACATAGAGACAGAAAGCGAGAAATCACCCCCCAGGGGGGATGGCCACGCCGCAATCCCTTCTCCTCCATTCTCCTCTCGGGATCTTGGGCATGCACTCACACATGCCCGGCGTGAGCTTTAAGCCACCGGGTCCGGGACGCGAACTGCGGTCAACCACATGGGAGTCCAACGACATAGCCATTACGCTAACTGCTGGTCCCCAAATTAATTTATTCTTCTTAAAGAGTGACAGAGGATTTGCAACAAGGTCCACAGGCTGAAGTCCTCCCCTTTGTTTCAGCTGGCACAGACAACTGGCAGGACAGAGGAAGCCCAACATGTAGGGAAGGTCCTAGAACATGAATCAGGAACCCTCCAGTGTGGGTACAGTTGAAATGTGGTCACTCTGCTAGGATCAGGTGTGGGGAAATATTTTGATTTCTAAATAGGAAATTGAAATACACAGGGAGAAACATTTTCTCAATGTCACGCAGATAGTTGTGCTAAAAACATATTTAACTCTTGGATTTACATGTCTGTGTTCATCAAGATGTTTCTTGATGTGCCTAATGACTTTTGTAGAAGTGTAAATTTACCTATTAAAATGGATATATAATTGCTTACAAATATCCTAAATGTTTTAATTCTCAGGTATCTGACACCCTGGAGTGTCACGTAGGTTGATGGTCACTGGATTCTAACTGACCCCATAATGTCAACCTTTCTGTAATATTTGTGAGACTGATAAATTTTTCAGGAGAGACAGAGAAAGACAGAGAGAAAGAAAGTGAGAAATCACTCCCTAGGGAAGACAGTCATGTCGCAATCCCTTCTCTTTTATTCTGCTTCTGTGATCCTGGGCACTTACACAAAATCAAATTGCATTATCCTGGACTCAAACCGTGGTCTACAATGCGGGAGTCCAGCGGCATAACTTACATTATGCCATCTGCTGAGTTCAATCACCTTATATTTTAATGTCATTATCTCACCTTAGAAAACACATTCCTCTGACTTTGAGTCCATTTAAGATCATCTCAAAAGCACAGAAATATTAAATCTGTCGAATAAAAATGTGACTTACCTAGTACTTCACTGTAAAACTGGTCCCACTTCTTTTTATCAAATGATTTGAACCAAAAGTCAAAATAAAGCACATATATCATATTTTTGACCCTCTCCATAAATGTCATTTTATCTGTTAATTCCGACATTATGATAGGTACATAGGAGGGAGGGAACGGAACAGCTGCAGTGTACTTTTCCCATGTGTATCCATGGGAGAAGCGAAGACTGTACACCAAGGATACATTAAGAAATTCAGCCAGCAGCTCCCCACAGGGACTAACAGGATCTGCAAGAACGACATCAAATCTTGAATCCATTAGTTTTGTCCTAAGTTTCCTATTATAAACTACTTCTGTACATAACTTTTGAAGATGGTCTAAATAATGTGAAATCATTTCTTGCATCTGTGAAAAATATTCGAAGAGTGTATCTCTTGGAACGTCATATATCCATTTGTTTATTATTTGCATGAAAATATTCTCAAAATTATCTTTAGTTGTAGCTGTAGGATAAACTTCAAATTTAATAGTGGATTTTTCATTGGGATTGACCAGAATGGAAGCTGAAGATGTCAGAACCGTCACCTCATGACCTCTCAGGGTAAGTTCATCCAGGATTATCTTCATATTAATCCAATGGCTGTATTCTGTCGGCCACACCAGCACCTTCCCACAGCTCCCAAAGCTGAAGCAACAAGTCAGCTGTAGCAGCAGAAGGGTTGAAGTCCATTTCGTAGCCATCTTGGTGAAATTCAATGGTATTTTCCAAGTCAGTGCTTTGTCATGGTTCATGCTTTTATGGAAGGATAAATCAACCAGGTAGTTAAAATATAACTCTCAAACATTAAAGTAAATATATTATAAAAAGAGTCTGAGCATGTGGTTTGAACATGAATAAACAAAAGATGAACGACCTGTCTTGGTCAAACAAGCATGTTTAGTATCTCTTACTTTAATGAGTGTTATCATTTAGCTATACACGTTAGCTGTGTATGTACAAGTCATCTATCTTTTGTAGAATATTTGAGAATAACGTCTCAAACAGTAGTAAGAAGTAGTAAGAGGCTCTTGTGTCTATAGTGTCCTTGAAACAAAAGTAGAAATAAAATAATTATATGGCTGAATCATTTCTTAGACATTGTGCAGGGGGCCAGCCTCGGTGGGGGTGGGTAGACTCGATGGAGGCGGCGCTGGAAAGAAAGGAAGACAAAGGCCTCGTGCCTTTTCATGCATGTCCTCAGCCAGACACTCCTAGAGATCGCTCTCTGAGGAGTGACAACTGTTAGGAATCATCGTGCCTTTTTATTGAAAATGCGATACATGCAGGTAAGTGGGAGAGGGGCTACGTGTACTAATTATCAATTCATAATGTTTTAACAATAGAAACCATTCAGGGTTTGATTAAGGGCAGGTCTATTAATCATCGATACAGTTCAACAGTTGTTTGATTGATGAAAGCAGGTTCCTGGTAACTTCAAGCAGTGCAGTTTCAGGAAACAATTCCAGCAAGCAGAGTTAACTATCAACCGATGTGCAGCAGCAGCTGTCTTATGATTACTGAAAGAAAATCTCAAGCATAGATATTAGTTCTTATGGATTTTCATAAAGAATGATACTTATATAATTCTATAGGGATCTAAAACTTAAGGAATCCTGATATATTTACCTATCCTGAAGGGGTGAAGTTATTATTCACTTGGTGAGGGTGGGGACAGTTTTTTCAACTGGTGGTAAAGCGACTAATAAGTTAATGAAAAACTTTAAAATGGGTTTATGGTGTTGTGGATACACTTGTGTAGCCTATGGCATCACTGTTATGTAATTTGTTAGAACATTAGTTACTATGGGATGAGAGCGTCCTGGGCCAGTTTTGGCCTAGTTCTATTGTATGTAAAAAGATTATTTATATTAAATGTGTCTTGAAGGGCCTTCCAAAGATCAAGAAGAACTTAGCACACCCTCTATTGTGCCCAATGAAGTGCTGTAATTAACAGTAAGTGGTCAGGGTAAAGGGGAGCGGTCGGGGGGGACTTTTTGGGAAATCTCACCACACACTCAAGATGTATGAGGGAGCTATGTAATTCTTTTGTAGTAGTAAATCGGGGAGTCAGAGGGGGGTCACTTCCCAGCAAGGCTATCACAGTCCCGGAGTGAATAGCAAGCGGCCTTGCCAACAAGCTAAGTGACCCAAGCTTGTTCCAAGGTCGGGGGGTGTACAGTAGCGGCCCTGCCAACTTACTTAACCGACCGGAAGCGATGCTCAAAGGTCAAAGGGCTCAGACGGGTCCTGGAGCCCCACCGGGTCGGACTCCTCCAAAATTGCAATTCAAAATTGTTTTTTTTTGGTGTGAAAAACTTCACAGAAAAATTACTTACTATACAATTCATAAATTTTAAATGTGCAATTCAATATTTTGTACTATATCTACAGAGTCATAAAATCACTACAATAATCAATGTTAGAGTAGTTTCATCTCCCAATGCGGGGGACCGGCCTTGGCGGGGGGGGGTTGACTCGAAGGAGGCGGCGCTGGAAAGAAAGGAAGACTAAGGCCTCGTGCCTTTTCATGCATGTCCTCAGCCAGACGCTCCCAGAGATCGCTCTCTGAGGAGTGACAACTGTTAGGAATCATCGTGCCTTTTTATTG